ATATTTAAAACATTTTAATTCTCCTCCTCACCTGCAAGGCCCTTAATAATATGGCACTATATGGCACTTAAAGGTCTCATAGTACCCTATCACCCCATTAGACCTCTGCTTTCCCACAATTCAGGCTTACTTGTTGCCCCTAAAATCTCTAAAAGTAGTCAGCTATCAAGCTCCTCTCTCGTGGAATCATCTCCCAGTTTCAGTTCGGGAGGCAGACACCATCTCTATGTTTAAGCAACCCAGTCTATTACACATTTTCCTTTATGATAAAGCTTAGAAAGAGCTGGTCCAGGCTTGTCTTGGACCTGCGCTTAGTTATGCTGCTATAAGTCTAAAATGTTGAAGGACACATGAAACATGGAGCTTCTCTTTCCTCTTCTCCCTCCTTATCACATCAAAAAGAGTAATGTCTCCTCAATACATGTTACTGACTTGACTTCGTCCCCGGAGTCTCTGTGCCTTATCGTTTGCAGATCCAGAGCCGCGACTGTGGCCACTTCGTGGATTATGATGATGGATCGTGAATCAGAGATTGTGATTGTAATGGCTGATCGTGATAGTTATGGCGAATCCTGTATTGTGCTGGCAACTGATCGTAGTGGTGGACCATGATCGAAGTGGCAGCTGATGGTGGATCCTGATGGCGGCAGTGGATCATGATGATAGATTATAATGGTGTATCCTAATCATGGTGGCTGCTGATTGTGGACTATGATTGCAACAAGACTGCTTGATATGCAATATGTCAACTCAGATACTCTACCATTACCATAATTCCTCAAATCATTTACCTTCTGTGATGGCCCTGCCTGACTGTTGAGAGTGGTGGACAGTTACTTTGTTTTTTCTATGTGTCAAAGAAATGTGGTGGGGACAGCCAGCTGATTCAGAGCACTACGAGCGCTCCCATAGGATAAAAGCCCAGCTGGCTTTGCACTCAGGTCTCTCTCTCACTTGGACTCATCCTGGCCAGTGATTGCAAGTTTGTCTCTTGTCTGACTTTTGTTGTGCTTTCGCTCCACAACACCTTACACCTCACATTGCTCACACACTCACATCGACATTATTGACAGTACTGACATACACACTCCTTAATTTATAATAAATACTTTAAACTACCGTCATCCAACTGTCCATCTCCGTATTTGTCAGGCCATGACACTTCCATCATGCTTCAAACTGTTTACTCTAACCAATGCTGTAGTTACTCTTATCTTTTTTAATTTGATGATTGATTAATTGATTTATGGTCATTCATGATAAGTCTGTCAAGTTGTCAAAATACATACATACATCGCCACCCAGGGTCTCCCAATACAATGAGATTAACTGCCAGGCATCCTTTATTAATATAAATCCAATTGAACAAAGATAAATCACACAGCATATAACCATTCAGGTGAAATAGTAGCAGCTTAGCCCAGTTTAGATCTGTCTCCACTCCAGTCTCTTCTCCACTGGCAGTCTCTGGTGGCATCTCTTTCAGCTGCCTTTTAAGATGGGGGTAATCAGCCAATAGACATGAGCTGTACTGATTACCCCCCTGGTACAGCTGGAGGTGCTCTCTGAGCCACCTCATGCCTACTGTTGCATTTCATTGGAGCTCTAGTATTTCCTTAATTACTGGTTACATTATACATATGTTTGAGACATAGAAAAAATATTTAATGAGATCTCATGTAAAAAAGACCAGAATAATTTACTATTCTGCATTATTTTTGAAGATTGTCTTTTTGAATTGGTTGGAGATACTGGATTGAATATTAGGAATGCATGAATATTGTTCCACCTTTTATACCTTTTATTACCTTTAACAAAGGCTCTGACAGGCACTATCTATTCTATCTATCTCAACCAAGTATGAGCCCCACTTAATGTTTGGTTGTAGACTATATCACAGCTGTCTTTAGTTGTGTAAAGCACAGCTTTGACCACAGCTACAGGCATAGCTAAAATCATAGTAATTGTCTTGAAACCACTAAAGTCCCAACAACACCCAACACCCTAGCCTCTGGAGCTGTCTAGTCCATATAGCAACAAATGCTATTCCAGTACCCAAGCCACCTCCTGGGGCTGAAGCTACTATCGGATATCGTACTTCACCCAGAAACATGGAAATCTGAAGAGTTTTGTGACAGATGTTTTTCTTCAAACAGGTCTTTTATTTTTGTAAATACATTCTGGCTCTTGTACAAGTATGAAGTTATAACAGTTATTACACCACAGAAAAGAATACAGGAAGAATAGGAAGAATAGCTAGCAAATAAATTAAACATGGCTGCTGTTCTTCAAAAGTTAGATATTTATTTAATGTCTAAACACACTGAGTCAACATTTCAGTTACATTAAAATTGAGTGAAAATGGAAATGTGTGCCAGCCATGCTGCCTGTCACCATTGTGGTTACCTTCCTGTGTCAACGCAGGCCAGGAAGGAGAAAATATCTCACACGCCTTAAAGGGATAGTTCAGGAGCAGTATGGAGGCATTTTATGCTTTTTTTGTTGTTTTTTTACATTGAAATGTTGGTCCCCATCTACTTCTTTTTTACTTTTTGGTGAACTATCCCTTTAAATAATTTTGTGCTGTAGCTGTATACCTATGAATGAATGAATGTGATTTCTCTTTGCTTTCAATTGACCAAAGCTTCCCTATTAGCCAACTCAAAACAACCAATAGAGGATTATACTGTCACATTATTTTCTATAAAGTTAATTGGTGTGTGTATTATATTTAGCTAGTTTTTGATTGAATATCACACACACACAGTGCTGCCTCTGTTCCTTGTCAGTATTGGATTTAATATCATAAAAAGCCCAGCACTAGTAGTAAAGACCAGATAAGCTTCAATGATGTGGACAGATCTAGAATAAGCTGTGGTTATTTCACATTCAGAGTAATCAAAAAAGAGGACACAACATAACTAAAGTAATGCTTTGGGAGACTAGAGAAAACAGGCTTCACAGATTCTCACAAAAAAATCCTATATCAAAGTCCAGATTAAGTGGCCTTTAAAAAAGGTTTGACAACAGATCAACAGAATTGTTTTGTTTTAGAGACCGGCAGGAAAACCCTCCTTACTTTGCTTTTGTATTCAAGTTTGCCTCATGTGATGTCAGTACTGACAAAAATAATGTTGATGTGTGCATTTAAAATAGCCAACAGTAATGCAATGAATTGTAAACTTTATAGTTTGCAAAATATATTACCACTATTTCTCAAATTTGTGAACAAAGCTAACACAAAAAACAGTTTGCATACTGAAAAATTGAACTTGTGAACAGTTTGCATTTCAGAAAATGAAAAATGGCTGCGGTAGAGCAGTGGTGGACCGGAAATCCTTTCAAGGGGAAGATTTGCTGAATTGCTGCCTGTTTCTGTCTTCCTGGATGTCTGTCAGTATCTTTTCACTGTATAATCTTAAAACAGAATTGCCTCCAACTGAGCGCACTAGAATGGACAAACTACAAATTTGTCAGAATACATAAGTTTTGTATTTCAGTTGAGGAACAACTAAACTTATGCATTAAAAAGACCAGGGTCATAACAATGCCATAATCCCGATAATATATATCCTATTCATTGAAAAGGTCTTTCATCCTACTCTGTCTTCACATTTGAATTTAATAATTCCAATTTAATGCATTTTATAGAAACATTAAAAAGTCATTCTCAACCATTTACGAAGCTAAATGAAGCTACATATAAGCTACATATACAAAGGTTAGTTGAGAGGGTCTTTGGTGATCCCTGAAAAAGTCCTTTACAATGGATTTCATTAGTGGGAGGTTTATTTAACAGAATGATTGCACTGTTTTGTATGACTTTTGTAGTTTGTTAAGTGCTGCACCTGAGCTTAAATATTGTTTGTTAGGGTGAATTCTCAAATTGTGTCCAATGCCTTTATTGAACTCAACTACAGGGAAAGTCAGGCTTTCAAAGATATCCATAGTAGAGCCTTGACCTTTTTAATTTTTTCCCGTATTTTTCATCAGATTTGGGTAACAGGCCCCCCTGTTCTCAGATCTAATCCTTAAATGTGATGTTTTCTCTTAACACAAAGCAGCTTCAATGGAAGGTTTCATTTAGATCAACTTTACAGCTTTCACTGTTTTCAGTCACACGTCCAAGTTCTGCTTTGATGTGACATTTACAGGTAAGCTATTGACAGTGCCACTTAACTTAATCTCCTACACCGATTTAAAGCCTTACAAAGGGCATAATGCCTCCCTCCCAAGTAAAATGAGTTTATTGCAGTTTATCACAAAAAAAGAATGGTAAACAAGAGCTCTTGTTACTGTTTGTGTGAAATTTAATGTCAGAGTAGCATTGAAATGAATATTCATATACAGTTTAAGTATTTATCAGCCTGGGGTCATTCAGACTACATTTCTCTATCTTATATATGTACCTGCTTACCCTGGTGTTTGAATGGTTTTAGGCTAAATGTGGTTATTACATGAGGACTGGAACTACTACTGGAGCTATGTGCAGAGAATACATTAATGAAACAAGTGGAATGACAAAAACACAACCATTGTAATAATCGACTACAGTAGAGTCACAAACCTGTCCTGTTAGAAATGTGAGGAGCAAAATTTAAGGAGAGTCGATTTTTCAAAAATGCAGCCAATGTGTAATGTGATAAAGAGGGAGTGTGTTCACACAGAATTGTCAGCAAAACACAGATCTTCTCGCTGTGGAGGGTTCTGTGTTGTGCAGAGAACTTTGGTGGAGGTAAAAAGGCAGTGTTCTGCCAGTGAAATAGCAGCATGGTAGATGTACGAACAGGGTGTGATGGTCAGGGTTGGATGTTCCCATCTTCATGCCACTGTGGTTCTCATTTACCTAATAAAACGAGGACCAAAACGCTCATCATTGCTTAAAATGAGGCAAAAAAAACATCAATACAACTCCTATCCACTGCACTGGCTGTGGATGGAAGAGTTAGGATGAGCCCTGGCTGAACAAATGAGGTTGACTTGGAAAGTGACTTGATTGCAGGAAGTTTGAAGGGTGTGTGTCTTGTCTTGTCACATGTAAACAGGCTGCTCCTGCGCGGTCAGCAAGCGGTACATGGCTGCAGGCATTGTCTTCATGTGGATCTGGACCAGTCACAAACAATTAAAACAGAATAAAGCATGATATTATTTCTAGTATATACCTTGGAAGATCAAGTGCCATCTCTTATCTGCAACTTAAAGGTTCAGTGTGTAGAATTCAGTGATATGTAGAGGTGAAGTTGCATGTTGCAGCTGAATACTCCTCATTTCATCCTCCCCTTCAAAACATGAAAGAAAACCTGTGGTGAAGTTCAGTTGTCATGAACACTCAAAAGGTTTTAGTTTGTCAAGTTTGGATGACAGTAAAAAACATTGCGGCCTCCACAGAGAGACCCCCCCCTCCATGTAAATATATAGTTTTTAGATATAAAGAGTCCATTAATTGTCACGGTTATGTATTTTCAGTGTTCCTCTTATGTTCCCTTCTGCCTTCCTCTGTGCTCCACCCTGTGATTCTCCTGTGTTGTTCT